GTATTTTATATATGCAGGTAGTAAGATCTGCAGTATTTTATATATGCAGGTAGTAAGATCTGCAGTATTTTTATATATGCAGGTAGTAAGATCTGCAGTATTTTATATATGCAGGTAGTAATATCTGCAGTATTTTTATATATGCAGGTAGTAAGATCTGCATTCTGAGTGAAAAATATGCTTGAAAATGCAGAATCAGCATAGATGTGAGGTCTGCAGATCTACCAAGGTTGTAAAAATACACAGAATCCTCTAACTTAAGGAAAGTTTACTACAACAGCTGTCCCACACGAGCTTTATCAACTTGACAACCGATATCCAAGTCTACTCCCTTGAGTGGGGATCCATTTCACGGGTGATACAGATATCTTTTTCTGCCAAGTTTGTATGAACTAAGGGTTCTGTCCTTTATATGGGGCACAAAGACTACAAATTTGCTTTTACCTCATGTAAAAATGTGGCAGAAGTGAAGCTTAGATGCATGCCTTTTTTAAGAATAGTAGTTTACCTTTTAGAAGCTAGTAAATTTTAAAGCTTTATTGATATCTACAGCATGTGTTTATGACAAAATGAAATAATGATAAAACAAATGCTTTAAGAACTAAAGTAAGGCATATGATTAAATTTATGAATACATCGTATTTTTTGACGTCTAATAAACAGAATAACTTCTAAACACAGTGTATCTTGTAACTAATATTAGTAAATATAAAAAAGAAAAAGTTCAACCTGTTATGTTATTAACTCATACAGTACTGCGAGAAATGCGAGTTGCATAAAGTCTAACTGCATATTTTCAAACATTATGATGATACAAGTACAGTATTACTTTAAACAGATATACAGTAGATTAATCTACAATAGAATATTTACTAATTCACTGCCTAGATTAATTGAAATACATAACATAAAACAAATCCCTTTTCTACACTCACCTTATCATTTCTTGGACTAAACAGCTCTTTTATTTTGTTCACATGTTCTACATGTGGCCAATTAAATATACTTGATAATTAAAAGACATTCACAAACTCAAAAACAATCTCTATTCTAAAAAATAAAGTGATCTAGCAAAAGCATGAGTTACAACTAAATATAAATGTTTAGAAACCGAGAAAAATGTGCAACATAGCAACAGTTTTTGCTGTCACAGAAGAAGTTTTTTTCGCATGTTTTACTTACATGTTCTGGACTCACAGTTAAAAACAAAAAAACATGAATGAAATAATGGAATATACAAGGCTTTTAAGCATACCTTGCTGAAAGTATGAAGTTATTTTCAACAGCAACTGACCAGATGATGTCACTGTGTCCCTCTAAACAGGTCACTAGAAACTTTGAATTAACTAGTTTTCTATACTCTTCTTCTTCTTGTTGTTCACTGCCCACTGTAGTTTCAGAAGGTGTTGATGGCACTGTTGACTGAAGAGTTGATGAACAATCTATATCACATATAATGATAAAACCAGGTGTTATATAAACAATAAAATCGTCTTTTACCATCATTACTGTAATTTCCTTTTATTTCATTGCTTCCATTTAACTTTAGAAATCTACATATACACATATATTTTTCTGTAACTAAAAGACATAAGGCATATACACAGATAACTTAGAGGTAAACAGATGACTATAAAATGTGCAAGCATTGTTCTTTTTATCTTAACCCTCCTGCACACCCTATGCTCATCCACACTGATGCACACCTGGGGTCCAGTAGAACCATCTTTAAAATACATCCTAGTTTTCATTAATTCCCTGAGACAATAACCAGTTAACAGTACATATACATACTTCTAAAAAGAACATTTAAAAATTTCTTTCATAATTCTTGTTTCACATAATTACAGTGTGCTTGCTACAAACTGTTTTCTTGCAGAGAGCACAAAAATATTTGCTCTTATGGTCCTTGAATCTGAAACGAAGTTTACTACCATGTTTCTTGAGAGGTGAAGCAGACTTTGTAGAACCTTTAGCTGTACAATCAATTTTTGTTCCATCATTTTCAAATAGAAACGATTTGATAGACTGATGGGGTTCTTTTGACAAAGGCTGAAATTCTTGCTTTCTAACTTCTCCTTAACAAGTCCCAGTCACAACTGAAAAAATAGACTTCACTTGTGTTTTTTCTTTCTCATTCCAATTTGGATTGATAGATAACTATATGATGAAAGCATATTGTAGCCAAAGATTAATGCTGGGTCACTCTTTTGGTATAGTAAGTGAAATAAAAGTATATCCAGCTCATCTGCTGTTTTGTTATAACAAATAATGATTTGTGGCTTCTCAAGTTCAGCAGTAGACATCATCTTGTCCTTGAAAGGAATATGGTTTTCCATTTTCCTCTTCTTGTAAAATTTATCTGTTCCTCTTCCAATTAATACATTCTTGTCAGATGAGGAACTTTCACTGGTATATTGTGTACCACTGTCATTGGCCAAATCTTTATCTATAACTTCCTCATCAACTGTTACTGTCTCTGAGGAAGAAGACTGACCTCCACTAGTGAGGTACCTACTTCCTCTTCTAAAATCTTCAGTTTTTCACTCTGGGTTAGTTTTTTCATAGTCATATTTCCACTGAAAATGATGGTGTTACTATAACCTGGCAGCTACTTGCATTGCTCATGCAAGAGAAAAACTTAATTCCTAAGCATCTTCAGACCAACTCCCCCAACTTATGTAGCCCTCCCTAAAACAAATTCTAAGTTCCCCTACAGCACTTAACTCATCTTTCTGGAGCTACAACAAAATCTACATTTCATAACCAGTTTTACTCCAACAGCAGACACAATTCTGGGTTTTGAGAAAATATTTCTACTCAATTCATTGTATATATTATAAAAACTGTGCAGGTTAGTCATATGTTTTTAATACAGTTTAAAACTATTCTCTTGCAATTTAACAGTAATATGTTTAACTTACCTATTGAATAAATCCTGTTTCACTAATTTGGAAAACAGAAAGTATGGGATTTCCAAAGCATTCATTTTAGAAGTCCCATTCAAAATTTGGGAGGGCTCAGAATATTGTACTGAATGTTAATTGTTGTTGTAAACATGAAAATTTGTCACATTGCAATACATTGAATGTTCCAAGCCAGATCATTTCGTTTAGACATCTATTTCCTGTTTGCCTTGTTTGTCTGTGTGTTTGTAATGTTGTTTGGGATGTGTCTAAGAAATGTTATGAACAGTGCTGATGTATTCCGAATACTCAGAGGAGCTACCATAATAGCTGAACAAACATATAACATCTTGTTATATTAATAGCAGAGAATGACTAGCAAATGTTGCAATTTATTCTAACAATCATTGCATATGAGCTACAACAATTCAAAAGGCAATTAAAATTGTTAAGGCCATGTCAAAATTTTGTTTAAAAAACACTGAAAATTTTTTGGGTTCCAGCAATAAAATAGGATCATCAAAAAATGGAAATACATAATTATTATTCTTTAGACCTAAGGATGTCCTGCAGACTTCCACACGTTCAATTTTCAATGTCTAAAGGAAAATTCTGGACAAATGATATGCGAAGATATCTACTAAAGGAAGTACTAATAGTGCACCAGATTGCTGTTCTGTTGAGCCCTTAAAATGATGCTCATAAAATATCAGACGAGTTCTTACCATTGGTGAATGTGACTGACAATAATGCTGTTGACTGTTCACTGTTTTCTGGAAGAACTTCTGTTGAAATCCTGGATCTCTTAGCTTCATTATCTCTGTTCTGATTTTCTTCTAACCTATATAGTTAAACAAAAATAAAATTCATTATTTTTCTTCAATATTGTTACGTATCTGCTTGTTTGTTAATTTCCGGTATAAATTCTTTCCGATGAACTTCAGTGATACAAGTCTTTTCTTAATTAAAACTAGTTTATTCTTTTTTGATACAACTTTTTAGTACATAGAATTTCCACAGTCACTTTAAACTTAACAACCTTTATAACACACGCTATAAATCACGGTGATTCACACACTTTACTTATGGTGCCTACTGTTCGCTTGACTCAATTATCTATCTCTTCAATCTATCTACATATCTCTCTATCGCTGGCTTTATTTGCTGGGCTTATAGACTAAAAAAGAGGGCATCTGGCAAACACTCAGAAAGAAATGTTAAAATGGCAACTTTCAGTCAGTTAATAAATTTATGAAATACATAATTTCATGTTTTTCTGCTACATTTTCTTCTTCAATGCAACTTTTTTAAAATAACTTACTTTCTTGTACAGTACAGAGAATACTAAAAAAACGACTGAATCAAATTCCACATAATACTAAAAGTAATCATGTTCTATATACAGGAATGAGTACCTTTCACACTTTATTACATTACTCGATTGACTAAAAATAATACTAAAAGTAATCATGTTCTATATACAGGAATGAGTACTTTTCACACTTTATTACATTACTCGATTGACTAAAAATAATACAAAAAGTAATCATGTTCTATATACAGGAATGAGTACCTTTCACACTTTATTACATTACTCGATTGACCGGTTGCCTCAAGGTCTGCAAGATCACCGGTTAAAGGACGAGATAATGGAGGAACACTTTCCGGAGCACTTCTAGAAACTGAGCTAGTTAATGTCAACTTGCAAGAACTCCCAACAGTCTCATCCAAGATTTTTGTAAGCAGGTCTTTCAGTTCTGATCTGGTACTTTCTTTTTTAGTGACCTGTGTATAAGACAAACATTTTGTTTTTGTTTCAAAAACTCATTTATGTATTACAAGCACAAGTAAATGAGTTAATGTGAACAAAATATAATATTCCTTTCAAAGGTATACTGTAAGTAATTGGTGTGAACAGTTATAGTTACACACGGTGTGAAAACTTCCGAGCTTATAAATGAAAACCTTGTGCACAAACAATCCTGATTTTAGACAGAATAATTTTTTCAAAATATTTAGTAGGATGAAGTTTCAGTTGAAATTGTAAATCTTAACTTTTAGAAAGACTTTGATGAAGTGCCTCAAATATTTCAAAAGTGATTAAGTATTAAATTAGATGCTTAAAACTGTTAGTAAAATGTGGAAAGATTAAGCTGGTGTTGTTTGTTATTAAGCATAAAGCTACACAAACGGCTACCTGTGCTCTGCCCACCACAGGTATCGAAACCCGGTTTCTAGCAATACAAGCTCGCAGACACACCACTGTGCCACTAGGGGTGGAAAGATTAAGTGGTTAGCAAACAGTCATACACATCCAGTAAAAATATATCAGGGGCACAGCCAGCACTAGTGTGTGTGTGGTGGGGGGGGGGGGTCTTTTTAAAAAGAATTCAAACTTTTTTGTCCACAAAAGAATTTGAGTGATTTACCTTGACCTAAATGAACTTTGTAAAACCAAAGTATTCAAAATTTAAAAGAGCAAAGCCAAGACAAATGTCCATTGAAAGAAAAAAACCTAAGACAGTTGACCTTTTACACTTTAGAATAGTAGGGTGGTTATTTGCCCCTCCCTCTTCTCCTGGTTAATCTTCCAAGCATGACCCCAAACGAACTACAATAACATGTCAGAAGAACTAAGAAGTCCAACTGGTAGAAATTAATTGTCAAAGTTAATTCAAACTATAAGGAAACTGGAGAGGTTGTATATCTTTGTTATTCAGTAGACTGTTTTATTCAATTATAGCTCATTTAAACAAAATGAAATCTTGTTTCTTATGTGAAAGTGCTTGACAATCTACGTTTTGCAGGAAAACTAAGTTTTTAAACAAAAACTATAGATATAATATCTGGAATATATAAAAAAGAAAAAAAATCCATCAATTTTTAACTAACCATGTCAGCTTTTTCGTGTCATCTTTATAACACTGTAACCTGTAATGATAATTTAATATTTCAGTTCTTCTTGCTTTTGAAGTTCCTGAAATTCAGATGTAACACTGGAGTAATATGTAACAAGTCTCCTTCAAATGAAAAAGAAGCTGTAGGGAATAAATCAAGCAAGAGAAGACTGTGATGGTGATATCAATGTTAAACCTGGTTAAAGAGATTGTTACCAAAGCTATACAAAAGCACAAATATAGCAGCTAAATATAAGAGAAGGTCTAATAGTGTTGACCTTTGACAGTGAAATTCAGGAAGAAATACAATTTCATTTCAGAGAAAACTGTCTGCCCTGTAACCAACCTTATAGGTATGAAGAGAAAAAAAAAAAGGTTTTAAACTTATACTGGATAGAACCATTAATTTGTCAGGATTTGGTACAAATGATATACAAGGAAAGAAATATTGAACTGTCAAAACATGATGAAAGACTTCTCTTTGTCACAAGCTGTTGATGGAGTTTACAACCAAGCATGTAGTGAAAGCTCCACAGTGATTTAAAGAAACAAAGCGAGTCTTTCAAAAAGATAAGATCTGATTGATTAAATGAAAATGGAGAAGCTTTGCAAAAAGTTGTTCGACACACCAGAGAAAATTATGAAGAACAATGGACCATACAATTGACCTTATGATAAGGACAAAAGTTTTTAAGTGATCATTGACCATACAGGACCTTATGATAAGGACAAAAGTTTCTATGTGATCATTAACCATACAGGACCTTATGATAAAGACAAAAGTTTCTAAGTGATCATTGACCATACAGGACCTTATGATAAAGACAAAAGTTTCTAAGTGATCATTGACCATACAGGACCTTATGATAAAGACAAAAGTTTCTAAGTGATCATTAACCATACAGGACCTTATGATAAAGACAAAAGTTTCTAAGTGATCAGAATGAGAACAATCTAGTTTCACTTTAAGTGAACATTTTGGCAAAGATATTATTATTATTCCAGAAGTTAATGCCATGACAGATGTGGTCACTTTGAGACCAATAGCAGCACATATCCTTCACAACTTTTACTAAATTCCCAATAAACCAAACCCATAAGTAGAAAAACTAAGTTTTGTGAAAGTAGCTCCAAACATTATAATGAATGATGTTAATTCTTGTGATACATCAAATGATACCTATGGAAATGTCATCATCACAAAGTTTTATAGATTGCTGTTAGATACACTATTTAGGAAACATAAATATATAATTAAAGTGTCAATAGGTCAAGTAATTATGCAGTGTATTGATCTGTAAATGCATCATTACTTTCTGACAAGACATTTGATCAATACTTTGCACAGCAGTGGTTTTTTTTCCTGCTGATATTCAGATGACCACACACATGAATGGAGTGCAACTGTTGTCCGCAGAGATGATACTCTTGGTTTTTGTACTGGATAATTAGTATAATACGTGACTGACCATTTGACCTTAATAATAGTTCTTGATTACCTGAATGCATTTCATGACTGTACGGGTATAACTGCAGCTGTCACATCAGGAAGTCAAAATGTCTGTTTAAGGAAGTTTAAAATAACAGTAATAGAAAAACATAGTTGCCATTGGAAACATTAACATTCACTTCTGCAAGTTACAAGGTCATTTAAACAATCCATGACCCATGCTGATTTGCCAGTTTCTGAACATAACAGATCCATCAGCCAATGGTCAACCTTCCTTAGAATACATCTTGGTTGCTAAGGCCAGAGAGACAAGGATGATCAGGCATTACAAAAATTACCAATAACAATCTTCAGTCACATTATTGTGGATTATTATCATAGATATGGTTTCTTTGTTTGTTTTGAATTTTGTGCAAAGCTACACAAGGGCTATCTGCACTAGCTGTTGAGAATTACGTTGGACAAAGTAAATCAGAAGTTTCTTAAAAAAAAAGTATAGTAGTTTCCTTCAGAGATTTAGAGATCAAAACAAGTGGCATTTTTGTAATAACTCTCTCAGTCTAGACATGGGAATACTGCTCAGGAAGATTCAAGACTTAAATGAAAGATTACCAGGAATTTACTTAGAGAGCAACAGGTGGGCTAGTTTTAAGTGTAAGGGTGAATTATATGCCAGAGATGGGCTTCACAAAGGTAGCCTAAGTAGTAAGACATTTGTAGAAGCTCTAAAGATATTCATAGTAGATAGTTTATACACTTATAGTGCTAAGAGAAATTGGGAATAAAAACATTTACAGTAATAGCTTAGGCAATGCGGACGTTGGAAAAATGAGAATATTCAGGGCATAACAATGGAAAGTCTTGCCTTACAAATCTTTTAACATTCTTGGAAAAGGTTACTGCTTATGTAGATGAGGGTAAGGGTGTAGATTTGGTGTATCTAGATTTTTAGAGAGCATTTGACAAGGTGCCACATAAAAGGCTTGTAAAAAAAATTAGCTCTATAGGTGTGGGGGATAAGTTAGCAAATTGGATAGAAGAGTGGCTGGATGGAAGAATGCTGAGGGTTTTTACAAATGGAGTTCAGTCAAACTGGATTAATGTCACGAGTGGAGTACCTCAGGGCTCAGTCTTAGGACCTTTGCTCTTTTTGATTTACATCAATGACATAGATGAAGGTATAGTCAATAAATTACTTAAATTTGTAGATGATATTAAGGTCTTGAGTTTTGCTTGCTGTGAAGAGGATGCTACTAATTTACAAAAGGATTTAGATCATTTAGCAAGTTGGGCAAATAAATGGCAGATGGGTTTTAATTATAATAAATGCAAGATAATGCATGTGGGTTATCAGAGTTTGAATTATAAGTATAATTTGGATGGGAATAACCTTAACAGTGTTATGAAAGAAAAGGACCTTGGCGTAATAATTGATCAGTCTCTAAAGCCATCCAAGCAGTGTGCTGTTGCTAGTGGTAGGGCAAATAGGATTTTAGGTTGTATCTACAGAGATATTGAATACAAGTCTAAAGAGGTTATAATTTTATTGTACAAGTCAATGGTTAGGCCACATTTGGAATATTGTGTTCAGTCTTGGGCTCCTTACCTTAGGAATTGAATTGTTGGAAAGGGTTCAGAGAAGGGTTACTAGAATGCTGCCTGGAATGGATGGGTTGTCATACAACGAGAGGCTGAAATCTCTCAAACTGTTTTCTCTTGAAAAAAGAAAAGTTAGGGGGATCTGACTGAGGTGTTTAAGAGTGTAAATGGAATTGATAGCATTCATGCATCATCTTTTTTCATATTTAACAATGAGAATAATAGGACTAGCGGACACAAATATAGAGGCAGTAAATGTAAGTGAGTTTAAGAAAAAGCTTGATAAGTATATGAATGATAAGGGCTGGCTTTAAGATTTTTGTTTAATTATTTTCATTTGGGTTTAGAAGATGGAACAGCAAAGATGGACCAACAGGTCCCATGTTGTCCCAAAACATTAAGTTATATGTTTTGTTAAAATGATATTTAAAAGAATGAAAGAAAACTACATGGTGAAAAAAAAGAGTCCAAAGAAAAGCTACTAGAATGATATCTGGCTTAAGGTATTATAATTATGAGTATATAATAATAACTACCAATCAGAGGAGTCTATGTACTTAATACTCTCTATTGGGTTACTCATAAAACAGAAAAGCTATATCAACAGCAACTAATCTTCTTGATCCTGAAATGGGCCATGAACCACAGCATCAACAGAAGACTACATTAGTAAATAATAACAGCATCAAATCAAAGTAAGCTATATAATTAATTTTTATATTGACTTTCTCATAAAACAGAAGAACTGGATCAACAGAAAGCTAATCTTCCTAAAATTTTGAACTATTTTTCCTTTCATATGAGGAAGACTTAACTTTGACTAGAAACAGATGTTTAAAAGTGGGTTTGCTCAATCTATGGATGAACTGTTTGAGTGATGGAATGAAAATTCAAAAATTTATATTCAATATTAGGAACAGTAGGTTTGAATTTTGGAAGCTTGCATGCAACCTTGTTCTTCTAAAAAATTTTCTTCATTGGAAGTTACAAAGTTGAGAAATGTTTCTGTTGTACTATGGGTCTAAACCCACAGTACGAGCTTACTTAAATGATTAACAATCAAAACTTTTCCAAAGCCTCCTCACTTTCCACCACCTATTTGTTTTGTTTGCTTGTTGTTAAGCATATGGATATCTCAGTATCTGTGCTGTGTTCACCACAGGGATCAAGGACCTCCAGCACCTGATGCTTACCCATGTAATAACCATTGACTTCAAAAAGGTGCATGGTACTATAAGGGAACATCTCATATTTTCCATAATGCCTTCTTGAACAATATTTTTCTGAACTTTGCACTCCATCCCTTATATTTTTTTAAGCTTTATGTATAGGTAAATGAATGTGAAAGGCTACTTTGGATTTTGATTCATGGTTAGTTGTGGAGAAATATCTCAAATGTGCTCATTATGCTAAAGGATATTCTGCTACACTGATTTTTAGAAATTGATATTCAGACTGAATTTTGGAATACAGGTTTGCTAAAATATATGATTTGTATTACTGTTAATGTTATTATACACACTCCTTTTAGTTTTAAACTTTTATTAATGGTAACTGTCCCATGTAATTTACAAATTACTGTATAACTATAAATTAATACTAAATTGGAATTACCACTTTACATTTTGGTATTGGTCAATTTGATCCATAGTTAGGTGATGAACTTAATTAGTTAATATCTCACTGAGCTATATATATATTTTTTTAACTGTAAGTGTAAAGTAACAACACAGTAACTTAGTGCTACTACGTACTACAGAAATAACACTGAAGAGTATACTATATACTGTTCGGTGTTATCGTAACGCAGTAATACTAGTATCCAAGTCTCAGAACTTGACAGAAGTATTGTAGGCTAAGTTACACTTACAGAATGTAGTAGTCTGTAAATTGCAACAACTGTATTAATGTACGCCTTACTTTCAATTTTTCTTCAGTGGTTAGTGGTCGTTTAAGAGATTCTAAATGTTCTATTTGTCGAATTTTTTTCCTACATTTTCTAATCTGGGCTTCGACAGACGCCATTGATAAACCAAGCAGTAACCGTTTTACGTCAGAGACAATAAACTGCCTAGCTAGCGGCAAAAATATCTGTTGATGAAGTTACGATTTTCCCTTTTCTGAACCCGTAAACATTCGTATACGCAAAATTAACTAAATTTCTATGATAAACAAAATGGACCAATATTGACTCGATCACATGTCTTGAATTTGAAACATAATTCACAATACATTGCACTTTTAGTAAAAGTTTTACAATACTGTATTATTTAAAGTATATTCCTAATTTATATGAAACATAATTATAAAAGCATCTTTGTAGGTTCTATTACAGATAGCCTGTATTTTTGCATCCAAATCATAGAACACTATGCAACCACAAAATGTACTTATTTCACATTTACGTATTTATAGTTTTTATGTCGTTAAATATTTTCCAAATTATGCCTAATACGAAATACTCGGCAAAAATAAAATAAACATCAATTGAAAAATAAGTATAATTACTTTCACAATTTAACTAAGTCAATAATTAATAAAATCGATTAAATTATAATGTCGAAACGATCGACGAAGGCTTATAAATTACGTGGAATTTTAGAGTCGAACTCATTTCTCTTAGCGTAACAAAACAGGTTCGCATAATTTTTATTTGTATGTTTAAGGTGGAGCGCAAAGCGACACGATGAGCTATCTGCACTCTGTCCACTGCGAGTATCGAAACCCGATTTTAACCTTGTAAGTCCGCAGAATAACAAGAAATTCGACCAAGATATTTATTAGAAAGTAATTCTGGGCTCATGATAAATTAATAAAGAGGCTGGAAACAATTGCACAATGAACATTATTTATTTATATCATAAAGACAACGTGTATATTTACGTGATACATCGAACGGTCTTCTTTTACTGAAAAACTAGATCCAAAACTTAAGATTGGTTTCAGATTGACATACCCCATAAGATAATTAGTGAAATTGCTAACATAAGGTTAAGGCTTACCCAGAGAGACTAGCGCTACCCAGTACCCACAAGACTTGTCATTCCCAATATGAAATAATGGAGGCTGTAACCTCGATATATTACCTGACTTAACACTGGAGGAAACCACTATCTACTTTCATACTCAAGATATATGTTTACAGCTTCTTCTCGCATGAAAAGACCAGATAATATATTAGGGGAAGGATACAGAACAGTAGGTAGCAAGAAAGAAAGTAATTTAATGACTTTATGGGCCAAGTATTCTGAGAAAACTGCACATACACCTGAATAACTGGCATATTACAAGTTGTTAAATATATAGACCAAAAGAACGCATTTGAAACACACAGAGTGTTGAGTACGTTACATTCAAAGAATTTTGAAGATACCAATCAGCAAAGCACGTGACAACCACAGTCATTATATAATCGCATAGGAACAGAATGTGTCAGAACTACGTTTTGACATTGTTCAGCATTATGTAGGTAATGTATTGCCTCTGAAAATTGATCAGATATTAAAGTTTTCACATGGCCATTGAGTCTTGTCTAGAAACCAAAACTACATTAGCTAAACATGTTAATTTCAGTTACTTAAAAGCTAAATGTTAAGGTTTAGACCTATGAAGGCCCTGAGGTAAAAAGTGGGGTAGAGAATCGTGGCAATTGAATTTTTTATTCGGGATTGTTCAAAAGTATATTCTATATTATTTGTGCAGATGTTTTGCCCTTATTTAATGTCCTCGTAAACATAAAGAAAGTAATTATGAAATTGCTTTACACGTCACCTCAAGCCAAGGTTACAAACTAAAAAAGAATGAAGAATTATTTTCTCCCTGCTTTAGCAGTTAGAATGTGTTTCAATCGGGATATAGAAGTTGGACAGCCAGTGTAATGTAAAGTCGTTATTGCCGAAGTATGGCCACCAAGGATCCCCGTTTGTTATTACTGACGAACAGTAGTCTCAGACCCCTAGTGGTTTGCCTTGATTTGCGAAATACATTTCTGGAGAAGAATTTAGTTCAGAAATAGAAAACATAATTAATGATAAAATTTAGAATGATTAGAAATGGTAATATGCAGAAAAATGATATAAATATGAGGAGATATAATAATAGGGTAATATAAATATGGGTAGAATAATAAATATATATAGTGAATTGATTACAGCTACAAAGTTGTTAAAGGCTATAAAATAAAATTAAAATCAATTATTTGAAAAGACAAAAATTTTGAATGCATAAACAAATTAAGGTTTTTGCCAAAGCATTTAATAAGTAATCTCTACACAACCGCTGTATGACTTTTTACGCATTTTGCGACAAAAATTAATTAATTAAATATAGCTAAATATATATAATATATATATATGATGGCGCCAAACAGTGCCCTCTAGCAGGGCACCTTTTATTAGCGAGATAAGCAGTAAGCTAACTGTCCGTATTTCTTATACGTCTAATCTTACTCTCTTGTACTTTTAACGCCTATTCTCAACCCTGTTTATAGTAACAATAGGTATTCATCTATAATGGAAGTGCGAAAACAAAGATGTTCTATGGTTAGTAAAGACACTCCAGATATTGAGGTAAGAATCGTATAAAAAGTATATGCCTTTTATATTTGATTTAAATTTTGATATTTTTCTCAGATTAGTCACTTGCTTTTTACACTGCTATAATATGTGATTTGTGGTTCGCTTTATTTATTTATTTATTTATTTACTATTTATAAACCATTATTTTCACATTTTGTTATTGTGGAAAGAAACTGTATGTATTAAAAAAATCGCTAATTTAAAAATAAAAATATTTTACATAAAATATCGTCTTAAACTAGTTGTTGACACATATATTCACATAAAAGGTCGTTTACATATGACTGAAGTTTTATTTTTTTACCAAACATGCATTATTCAGATAAAATAATACAATCATATAACAAGTGTTTGAAGTGAATAATATGGTGGGCCAAGTACTTAAGAAAGTTCAGCGGCTTCTTTCTAAGTCAAAAATACGATTTTATTAACAGGTAAGGTAAGGTTTGTTGATGATGAAACCTTCACAGCTGCTCTTCAAAAGCGTGAAAGTAGCACGTGACCTTCATGGCCACTATTGAGAATAAATTCAACACATGTAAGTCACGTGCAATTCGGTTTGTTTTTTTCCACTTGGCTGAAGTACGAATAGAAGACTCAATGCAAGTACAGAATTATCTTAAATTTAAAGCTTCTCGGAATCAGCTGTAGACAGTATTGGAAAAAAACCTCTGTAATGACTATTAAGATATATACAGTGTAATTTAGACTTGTTAAGTCCCGTAATAAGACGAAATTAGGTGCAAACTTCATTGCTTGACAAATAAGTTTAATGGAAACAAACTTAATAATAGTTATTTGAACGAATTAATGTCAAAAAACGACTTAAAGTAACATGTATTCATAAAACTGAACCCTTATTTACAAACAAAACTGAAGTCTATTTGATATTTTGCTGTTATTGTTATTTCCACCTGAAATCCAAAATATAAAAAAATAGTTTACTGTCCCTATACCATCAAAATAATCGTGTATAATTCAAAATTAACGTCTTTGTTAGATTATCACATCCATAAAGTGGTACTGTATTCTTCTCTTCAAGATGTTTTATAAAAGATGTCGATTTATAAACTAGTTTTATTTCAATTATAAACTTAAAATTAATGTTTAGTTTTTATGCATATTTAAAAATTGCACATGTATTTAATGTACAGTCTTTATTGCTGCCCTTTTATTTTAATCCCAAAAGGTTACTTTTCACTTCATACCATTTTTCTTGCTTTTTCTCTTTTCGACTTAAAATGCTTGAATAGTATTTATGGCTGAGCCATTGAAAGGGAATACAATCAGTTGAAGGGTGTGGCATGCTTACGGTATATACATTTAGTGTTTTGGTTAGTAGGTTTCGAGAAAAAAAAACTCTGTATAGTCAATTGTCTTTTGTTTTTGATTTTTTTACACCTAGAATATTTTGTCTTTGAATCCGAAGATCTGCGGTCATGCTAGGCTCGTACCAAGTAGTGAAACAAAAATAACAAAAAAACACTGGAAAAGAAATAAAGAGAAACATTGTTGTGTAAGTAAGACCAAACTGATTTTTAATATTGTGCTATTCATGAATGTAAGCTCTTCTTCTAATCTATTCTTACGAAGCATTTAAAGATCTTCTATTTACTCTCAACACTTGTATTCGTATAATAGTAAACTTGTTTATTATCAACTAGATTTTTCTGTAGTTGAAAACGTTAACTCGGTTTTCAGTTTTATATTATCATATAATTTGTCAACTACATTTACTCGAAATGCACGAGAGGAAACAACTAATAATTTAGTGTGAGCGGGGCAACATGGTGTAGTGCTTATTTATTTTTTTATTGCAGAAAAGTATTCGGTCCTATATAGTTTTTCAGCTAGGTCTAGCACATATATTTGTTCTTTTTTAAGATTTGGTTTTGTAAATTTTAAGCCGTTAAAATGAAAGGAAATAAGAGAAGGCTATAAGTAAAATCTATCTATATACTACTAAAACTCTGAGATTGTTTATTTATTTGTTTGCTTGTCTGTAATTGAATACAGCAAAAACG